TGGAGAAATGTACATCCCTTGACTCATATGAATTACCAAAATTAAGCCAAGAGATAAAAATTCTAAACAATCCAGTAACAAGCAATGAAATTAAAGCAGTAATAAAAAATCAATCAAAGAAAAGGCCAGGACCTAATAGATTCACTGTTGAATTCTACAAGATCTTTAAGGAGGCTCTAACACCAGTGCTCTTAAAGCTCCTCAGTGAAGTGCCAGAGGCCAGCATCACTCTGATCCCAAAACCAAAAACCCAAGTGAAAAACAAAATTACAGGTCAATCCCTGTAGTCATAGATGAAAACTCCTCAATAAGCTATTGGCAAATAACATGCTACAAATCATGAAATGGATTATGCATAATGATCCAGTAGGTTCATCTCAAAGATGCAAGGGTGGTTCAGCACACAAAAATCAGTAAAAGTAATACACCACATAAACAGAAGTTGGGATGGAAACCACATAATCACATCAACAGATGCAGATAAAAGCTTTTGACAAAATCCAACAATGATTCATGATAAAAACCCTGAAGAAAATAGGTAAAGAGGCCATTATATGAATTTGATAAAAGCCGTTTATGACAAATCAATGGCCCACATCTTATTAAATGGGAAAAAACTTGAGAGCCTCCCTTCTAAAACAAGGATGCCGACTATCACCATTTTTTTTCAATGTAGTAGTACTAAAAACGTTAGCCAGAGGAATCAGGCAAGACAAAGAAATAAAAGGAGTGCATATATAAAAGGAAGAAGTCAAATTATCATTATTAATAAGAAGAGATCACACTTGTTGATTGTTGGCTCAAGTTCATGGGCTACTGAGGTTTTGTTCATAAAATCTTTTCCTACCCCAATGTCTTCAAGAGTCTACCTAACCTTTGTTCCAGCCAATTCAGCATTTCTATTTCAACATTTAGATCTTTAATCCATTTAGATTTTAGTTTAATGCCTAGGGAGATATATAGGTCTAGTTTTAATCTTTGACAAGTTGACACCCAATTTTTCCAGCACCATTTATTTAAGAGGCTATCTTTCCTCTAGTGAGGGTGTTTGGGTCCTTTATCGAAGATGACATGGCTGAGTGTGTCTGGAGTTGTTTCTGCATCTTCTAATCTGTTCCACTGGTCCTCAGGTCTGTTTCTTTCACAGTACTGTACTGTGTTTATCACAGTAGCTTTGTAGTATAGTTTTGAGTTGGGGGTTATGATACCCCCTGCCATGTCTCT